GGGGGGGGGGTGTTCCATATGGGGGAAAATTGAGGAAAATGGTGAAAATACATGACTTTTAAAGAAAATTCTCAGGGTGGGGGGTTCTTGAAGCTTGGATCCCTCTGGATCCGCCACTGCCAACCAGTGAATATGCTAAGCTATTCCTATATTTTAAGATATTTTAATGATGAGGTGTTCTTTAAGAGAACACCTAAAAGAATCATTCTTAAGGGTTATTTTGTATCTAGTATATAAACTGTTAGTCCGAATTATTCTGACGCTTTATCAACTTTTTTTTTATATCTGTCTGTCATTGATTAACGTCAGAACTCTATAATATGCGGGAAATAAGCGACCCGCTTATCAGTTTGAAGTGCGACCCAGGCGGGTCGCACTTCAAACTGATATTTTAGAAACAAATCGTCACTTTCACACACATGTCGCACATGGATCGAAAAATCTATTCTTTATGCACTAGGTGGTATCAATAACATGTTTCAAAGATCATTACGAAAAGTATTTTCCAACGTTTTCTATACCAACCCATGTTTTTAATGGAAAATTAGGGCATGAGCAATGTCACATGACTTTACGAGATCTCACGTTACCGAAGGTATTTCCCAACATTATGACGTAGGCCAGCAAGATTTGAGTCATGTGGCATTAGAAGGCAGGGCTATAAAAAAACTAGTGTAAAACAGAGTAAGTTTGAAAAAATATGTTTTTAGTGATTGTATTGGTTGTTTGAGGCATGTAATTTATGTTCATCTTGTGCATAAAGAATAAATCTTTCGATCCATGTGCGACATGTGTGTGAAAGTGACGATTTGTTTCTAAAATATCAGTTTGATATTATTTCCCGCAGATTATAGAGGGCCGGAGTTTTGACGTAAATCGACGACAGACCGATATAAAAAATTCGATAAAATGTCAGAATAATTCGGACTTATAAACTGTACACACAATTGATTTATGTTTTTAATTTTGAGCTCTCCCATGGAAATTTCAAAAGGTTTGCAAGTATGATTCTGAAAAGTGAAGATATTATCTTGTCATTTTGATTATCTATAGCTGCCAAAACAAACCCCGCTACTGTTATAGCTTTGTGAACATAAACACTCATTTAACCAACTTGCTGTGAAGCACTTGATTTTTTAATAAATGTACAACAGCTAGCATTCCATATTGTTCTTCGCTGTTCAAGTATCTTCTTCCTTAATTTCAAGTTGACTGTTGCATTCACTGCGTCGCATTGAAAGTGTTGAACAGCATGCGTACAGGTGATCGACCCTATCAATCTCATTTGTCATTGACATTTATATACTAATGTGATATTCCGCTACAACAGTTCAAACGAGTTAGGTCTATTCAGACCCCCAGTGTATTTCTTCATTATTAACGGTATCAACTGGATATTTTAGGGCAACGTTGTGTCTGAAATGAAACTGCATGTCTATTTATATATTCTGACAGCGGCTGAAGCTCGAGAGTGAAACGAAAGTGGAGACATAGTTTAGTGGACACCTGATTCAATCAGACAGACAACAGGTGTGTATTCAACAAAATAGCATCGCATAAACTCATCTCAAGGTCAAGCAAAGTGTACTACAAACGAATCATGTAAATGTTTCGAGAGAATGCACAGAAAATAACTCAAAATAGTGAAGACTTGACAGGTAATATACAAACCGGGTGAAATGATCCTGAAGTTGCAGACGAATTGTACTCATAGTGCTACCATGACACTTCCGCAAAAATACCTTCACTTCCGGTTTGACGGAGTGAATGAGGTCAATCATAAAACTTTGCCATATGAAGTTGTTATATTTGCCCCAGTAGCATTCTAAACCCATTGAAATGCGATAACACACACTCCCTAAGGGCACATGAGCCGGTAATGTCGAAAATATTGATTTCCGTCGATCGATACAGAAAGTCTGGATCGAGGTTGGCTTAGGTAGCACACCACTAAACTTGTACATTGTAGCTACAGCATTCTGCTGTTGATTTGAATCGCCGGGGAATCCATGCTGCATTGTAAACGAAAACTTAACATAACACTACCCAATTTGTTACGTTGCACAGATATATATTATTTCAGAAAATGTCTCACACCATACTTTGAAATAAAATTTGTGTATTTCCCTATTAGGAAGATATGGGTCATTGCTTTTGTATTCATGGATTTGTTTAGAGTGCACGATTTAATTTTCTTATCTTCATACATTAATGTACGTCGACAACATCTTGAAAGGGGGGAGTAAACGCCTTTTTTTCGATATCCATACTTATTGTCGTGGTTTCTGTGATGATGGTTTTTTTCGAATGCTAGTTGTTTCGATAACAGGTCGTTTCGGTAACAAGTCGTTTCGGGAGTTAATCAAGTCGTTTCGGGAGTTAATCAAGTCGTTTCGGGACATATAAAATTTTCACTTATAAGTTACATTTCCCTCCCGTTTCATATAAATTCCTGTAAATACACAAATATAGTTTTAGTCTATATGACCTGTACGTGTCACGACCTACAAATGTACCCTTGCTTGGGATCTTGTGTTATTTTACCTGGTGAAACAAGTATCATTGTCAAACACAGAGAGGAACTTGTGAAATTTAACATTCAATTTCTTTCGTTATTGATATGGTCCTTGTTTGATATTGTAATAATATGATTTCAATTCACTCTATTCTCCATTATTGACATTAAGAGACGAATGAGTTTTAACAATGTTTTAAGCATTTTTTTTTTGCTATATGAAACGTGAAATATGTAGTATGTAGAATATGTTTTGAACAATGTTTTAATGTTGTGTATTTGTGACTGAATATTATATTTACTTCATATAATGGTAAATGTATGACGGGAGAAGGCTATGATACATTGTAATAACTTTTATCCAATCCATTGATCAAATTTATTTGTCGATGAAATATGTTTAAAGAATAAAGACAGTGGTATTTAAAGAAGAAATAAAATGAAAAATCCCGAAACGACTTTTGACGTGTCCCGAAACGACCCGAAAAAAGTCCCGAAACGACTTTCGTCTTGTTACCGAAATTACTTGTTACCAAAACGACCTGACACCTTTTTTTCGATATCCCTACTAATTAATGGATAAAATCAATACGTCCGGGGTTCAATTCCCCGGCCGGACGTGATAAGGTATAACGGGTCACCTGTTCGACCACGTGAGATGTATCCGAGTACTCTGGTTTCCTCCTAGGCTAAAACAGCCCCTCATCCCAGCCCATCCCCGCGCTTACATCCGTGCTACAAGAGTGATTAATATAAGTTGAAATAACTTGTTTCATAATTGTTGTACAAATAAATATATATTAGATATAAACCGTGACGATAGTTTCACCACGGAATGATAATAGCTTCCATTTAAGCCCGTGGTTTCCCATGTGTATCATTCTCACATTGGCGGATCCAGAAACCNGGGGGGGGGTAGCATCAACTCAGTTAGAGAGTATTGATATCAGGAGCAGTGTAAATAATGTTACGAAATTAACCAATGTCTCCATATAGATCTACCATGTAAATACTAGTTGGTTGTACAGTATGTGGTTAGAGAGAAATTATTTCATATATTCATATAATGTGATGGTAATTGCTATGATAATTGCATCAAAAGGTTCTAATTCTGTTATGTTTGAACGGGCTGCTTAAGCTTATTTCGCCTTACAGCGTTAAAATGTAGCAACTCTTGATGATCGATCAAAGGGAAGCAACTCGTCGGCTTTTATGACGGTCCTAAGGTCCCCGTACCGCTGCCATACATGTAACTACGAATTGAAAACTATTTTTGTAGCATGTTTATTACTTTGATATAGAGTTTTTAAAAGAAAACCATGCCTTGTGGTATTTTTAGGAAAAACAATGATGATGAAATAAAAAAATATAATCAACAACAGTTTTCTGAACGAAACTCTTCAGCGGGACTAGACAGAGATTCGAACCAAGAACCTCATATTTTTATGTTATTGCACTAATCCACTGAGCTGTCTGTCAACAGAAGTGTCCTGTCCCAATTGTGCTACACTTATGTACAACAGAAGTTAAGGGGATGTTACTGTATATAGGGAAAACCACAGTGTAGTGGGACAGGGATCCTTAAATAAACATACTTCCCCTGGTCAGCCATATGATGTGTATTTGCTGGGGTTCACTTAATCTTCATTTTGTGCCCCGGATAACCAAAGTCGTATTTTGTAGAAATTGTATTAATCTATAATCGATGAGGGTTTTTTTTTTTTTTAATTTCTGCCAGGTTAGTATAAATCTGGCTTAAACAATATTATAATGTCAATCTCGATCTCATAAATTTCAAATGAAATGAAAACGAGGAGAAGATCCTTTTTATCACAATAATCAAGATTTGTGGCATGAATCGTCAAAAACGACAATTTTCATGCAACCTTGAAATGTAAAAAGCCGCGTTTTTGACTTCAGTGCTCAAGTTTGTAACGTCATGTATTTGTACTAGGCGTGACGTCAGAATTGACATGGCTGATAGGTCATATTACATGGGTTAATACGCAAAAAAATATGACATGGGTATAACACAGTGCATTATGTGATAGTAACGTGAAAATAATATATCATTGATGACGTATACATTTAAGTACTTCTACTTAAGAAATGAATGTTTTAGCAAATGTTGTTATGGTCCTATAATACACATGGCTCAGTATTGATGACAAACTTAAAAGCCCGATAGGACTTTATGTAAGTTTGTCAGCAATAGAAACGTGTGTTTTAGGACCATAAGAACATTTGCTTAAATATTCATTATTTATTTTTACATTTTGATAGAGTACGTAGTTACGCTTAATTTAGTTATTTCAAACAGCAAATGAAGTCTCGGCAGCAATGAAATTTATGACGTCACAATAGAGGTTGACGACGTCACAATAGCAAATGTTGTTTTAGTCTCACAACAACAGTTGCCTTCCAGTGCATTGTAATGGAAGGATACAGAGCATATGTATGTAAATAGAATTATATAGATAGCCTGGTATCAACATGTTCAGTTAGACCCGTGCAAGGTAAATGTGTTACACTTAACAGGGACTAAAATAAGTTCGTTTCAGTGATTTTCTTAAGTAAGCCTTTATTTTTATCTTGACCAAAATATCTTAGACTTTGAAGGTATTCACATCTTTAATTTCCGTCTCGGCTGTCAGAACACGGACCATGCATCCTTAACGTTTCTGATAAAAGTTATCGCCCTTTTAACAACAATTCCGCGTGTTAGGCCTACAGGAGCAATGTCGGGCCGAGGAAAAGGAAAGAACGCGATTTCGTATGTACAAAATGAAGAGCCAGCGTTTATCAGACAATTCAAACAGAACGTAGGCTACAAAGAAGGCCCGAACGTCGACACCAAGGCGAGTATTAATTAGCCTAACGTAAATTCACATTCCAAAACCGGCTTTCCTAGTCCGTCTATGCCTACAGAAACTGGCGGATTGGGCACAGGAGCTCGGGTTCTGGAATTAATGTGATATATCGCACATCACTGCTTGTACTGCTTGTACTGTAATTATCTAGTATCACAGCTGTGATGTGCGATATATATTGCACATATCCCAGAACACGAGCACCTGTGGGGTTGGGCACTTGGAACAATTCATTTTAGTTTTATTATCTGTACGTACAATTATTGGCCCAAAATATATTAAGGATGCATGAATGATAAGCAAGATAAAAAGAAAAACGGATTGTAAAAGTTGACTTAACCACTGTACTTTAATGACGAATAAAAGGATCCTAATCATACAAAATGAGAACACCAAAAACTGATACTTTAAAAACCGAGGATTTCAAATATAGACTGAGGAATTCAGTATCATATGTTTCCTCTGGCCCTGACACCAGACTTAGACATTTTGACAGATAGATGTCTGTTGTGGGTTCCTCTCGCCCTGACACCAGACTTAGACATTTTTACAGATAGATTTCTGGTGTGGGTTCCTCTGGCCCTTACACCAGACTTAGACATTTTGTCAGATAGATGTCTGGTGTGGGTTACTCTGGCCCTGACACCAGACTTAGGCATTTTGACAGATAGATGTCTGGTGTGGGTTACTCTGGCCCTGACACCAGACTTAGACGTTTTGACAGATAGATGTCTGGTGTTGGTTCCTCTGGCCCTGACACCCGTCTTAGACATTTTGACAGATAGATGTCTGGTGTGGGGCCATAGCGCATTACTATATGAAAACAAGGAATTCTGCGACACCATTTTTGAGGTGCTTCATCAAAGCCAGCTTTTAAATTTCAGGATTCCAAGTGGCCACTTCCACTGTTGAGTGGCCGAGACAGTAACAATAACTTGAGTTCTACAGGGCCGACTCAGTTGATACTTTGTAGAAGTGTTATTCATAATCAGTTACAGTAAAGGTACCTTGTTTGAATTTTCGACAGACCTACATACAACACAGCTATACTGTATGTGCTGATTATTATTTTCGATTGACCTACATACAACACGGCTATACTGTATGTGCTGAATTTATTTCCGATTGGCCTACATACAACACGGCTATACTGTATGTGCTGAATTGATTTCCGATTGACCTACATACAACACGGCAATACTGTATGTCCTGATTATTATTTTTGATTGAACTACATACAACACGGCTATACTGTATGTGCTGATTATTATTTTCGATTGACCTACATACAACACGGCTATACCGTATGTGCTGATTTTTATTTCCGATTGACCTACATACAACACGGCAATACTGTATGTCCTGATTATTATTTTTGATTGAACTACATACAACACGGCTATACTGTATGTGCTGATTATTATTTTCGATTGACCTACATACAACACGGATATACTGTATGTGCTGAATTTATTTCCGATTGGCCTACATACAACACGGCTATACTGTATGTGCTGATTATTATTTTCGATTGACCTACATACAACACGGCTATACCGTATGTGCTGATTTTTATTTCCGATTGACCTACATACAACACGGCAATACTGTATGTGCTGATTATTATTTCTGATTGAACTACATACAACACGGCTATACTGTATGTGCTGATTTTTATTTCCTATTGACCTACATACAACACGGCAATACTGTATGTGCTGATTATTATTTTTGATTGAGCTACATACAACACGGCTATACTGTATGTGCTGAATTTATTTCCGATTGACCTACATACAACACGGCTATAATGTATGTGCTGATTATTATTTTTGATTGACCTACATACAACACGGCTATTCTGTATGTGCTGATTTTTATTTCCGATTGAGCTACATACAACACGGCTATACTGTATGTGCTGAATTGATTTCCGATTGACCTACATACAACACGGCAATACTGTATGTCCTGATTATTATTTTTGATTGAACTACATACAACACGGCTATACTGTATGTGCTGATTATTATTTTAGAGACAAGCTATGCCAGATTTCGATGATGATGATGATTGTCCAGAGGCTGATGATGAGAAACCAGTTGTCGTGGTGACACGTCCAGGTGACCTGACAGCGGAGCAAGCAGAGGTTGTGGAGAACATACAAAGCAAGGAGGAAGGTCAGGGTCAATCTCACTGATTTTCTTAAAGAATAAGGGTGATTGAAGAGGTTACCAGGACTGTAACTTGGCAAATAACTCACCATTACTTGTTATCGTTGATAATTTTTCTAAAAATTCAATACTTTTTTGAAAATATCTGTAGTTGTGAAAACCACATATGAAAAATCGTATTTATACAGTGACCAATTCTGCAGTATTATACAATGGTAAGTCTCATTCCTGCCAGGGGTGTAGGGTAGGGAAAGTCCACCCGAGGGGGTTTCAGATTTGGTAAAACCCAGAGGCTTTGCTGAGGGGTTTGCCAAATTTGAAAGTCCGGAGGGTGGAATTTCCCTATCCTACACCCCTGGGCATGATAGAGTATTTTTCTCCCATTCCAACAACTAGAATAAGCTCAGAAACCTTGAAAATGCATTTGGACTGGCCACCATTTTGAAAATATCAACTTTCTCCTAGGCTTTTCTAACGAAAACTAATTAATCTATCAGGGAGATTTAGCATGTACCCCATATTTGCAAACATATTCGCAAAAAAATAATCTCATCTTTCTTACTTGTACAGTAAATATATTGTAAAAAAAAGAAAAATCATCAAGGTCACATTTTCTGCATTGCAACATCAGGTTTTTTTCCAAATTCGTGACATCACATCATTGTTGCCTCATTGTGACGTCACGTCACGTGAAATGGGATGTAAGATAGAAATTTCTTACATCCCTTTTTACCCTGGACAGCTCTATCCACCGCACACACAGAAATGAGGCAAAATGAAATTCCTGTTATATGATAGATTTTTTTTCAATCCATATCAGAAATAGATTATTTTATCACTTATGCTACAGGTTGCGATAATTGATAGCACCTATCTGTATGAAAACCAAATGATCAATGCCCGCATCACATACCTATGAAATGTCCAAAAAATAATCAAGTCAAAAGTCTTAAAATTATCTGAAATAAAACTGTGGAGAATTTTTCTTCATACTTTTGGAATTAAAAATGAAGAGACTGAGTGAAATGGTAGTCGTTGAAATGATAATACCTCCCAACGAAGATCTGAATTTGATTTAGATTCTTTCAAAAAAGATTGAAATCTGCTTGAACCTGGTCAGATCTATCTGAAGTGTGCGGAGACCAATTGTCCTTGGGGTTTAACCTTCTCGCTCTGAAACGTTTTGAAGTGTTAAAGAAATTGTGTGGAAAAGTGATGCAGGAAGCAGTTCAGTAAAATGTGAGTTTCTTGTTTTCAGCGGAGAAAGCTATCAGAGAGGGGAAGATCACCTTCAAACAGCCAGAAAAGCGTTCATCCACAGACACGGACTCATCAGACTTAAATCCCACTGCATCAAAAAAGAAAAAGAAAGACTCTGATGCAAAGAAAATTTCAGGTTCAAAAAAAGTGAAAAACTCAAAGCTTTTATCATTTGCTGAAGATGATGAAGACGATGAAACATGAAGATACTGTTATTATTTTCACCTTGAACGAGAGGTAAGCTGATCTCCGGGACAATACTACTACCACTACCAGGCCGGTGAAGTACTCCTGACTGACTTCAACAGTGGTGAAACAAATGGTGTTCAGTTCACACTCTGGGCCAAGGAGAAAATGCTGAACCTCGCTATGTGGATGGTCCTATGGAGGAGAAAACAGATGTTGCCCGAGTTGGCTTCCTGTAGTTCCCTTGATTTAATAGTGTACTTTTTGGTCTCAGAAACAAAAGAGTACACAGTGAGATACCGGAGGCTATCACAAACGTGGATGATAATACCTCCCAAACATCACATGTCATAGTGCTAGTGAGATACATGGATGACACCCTTTAAATTTTGTTTCTCTCTGTTCCTTATATAGATAATAAAAATATCAGCAGTTACAATTTAAAAACAACACAGGGGAAATAAATTAAATCGCCCAGTTGTGGAACTGATCGAAAACAAATAAAAATTAGAACCAAGACAGATTTTCATGTGGAAGTATTTTAGCACCGACTGAGATAGCTACAAGTGGGTGAATTTTTAACTGAATTAATGGAAAATAAAGCTGAAATAGGGAAAATAAACTATAGCTGAAATAGGGAAAATAAAATAAAGCTGAAATAGGGGAAATTAAATAAAGCTGAAATAGGGAAAATAAAATAAAGCTGAAATAGAGAAAATAAAATAAAACTGAAATAGAGAAAATAAAGCTGAAATAGGGAAAATAATGCCAAAATTGGAGAGGGGAACTAGCCCATATTTGGCCATAAAAAAGGCCTGTATATACTATATATCCATGGAAATACTGAGCATGGGTTGTGGAGGATATATATAAGACGGCCAGTTTATACCAAAGTCTGATCTGTTCATGTCTTAATGTAGTCATCACATTGACAACTGAAAAATAAATCATATGTTGTTCTCAATAAATATATATATGGCTACTGCCTGCTTTGTAACTGATCAGAACCTGATGAATGGAGATAGGATCTCTGAGAAAACCACATTGTTCATCAGTTTCATTTTGGAAGTGCTTTTCCTTTGGAATTATAAAATGAGTGTGAGGAAATAGATATTAATTCAAGAAATGCCACACAACTTTATTTTTTTATCTCAATTTAAAATAAAAAAATATTGATATTAAACTGTTGCCTTTTCTTTCTTTCTTTTTAGTTTGATTTCACTTTTTAAAAAAAAATATCATGTAGAGATGAAATTTCGGTGCAGAATGATTGCCATTTTCAATGAAAATAACATTGAAAATATAAATGACTCCAGAAAGCAAATTATTTTCATGTATACAAATATGTTCTGCAATACAAGGTTGATAGAGTTGTTTCCCTTCGTATCGAAAAATGTTGCTTCCATATCTATTAAGCGGATTAATACTAGGATTTGATTCTGAAATATAATTAATTCAAGGTTTGCATTTCTTTTAAGCTTTGGTCAGAGTTTCATTCAAAGTTAAGTATTTTAGTGGACTGTATTTACCGGTAATGAACTATTAAGTGTGCATATTCAGGGACAGTAATGACTGTGTGAATTACCTCCCTTGTAGGTGTGGGGAAGGGATTGGTGGGCGTGGTCACAAGGCCCACCAGTATTAAACGTCCCTGGCATATTGCAAGCCAAAACGTATATATATATAGAGAGAGAGTAGTAATATCATACACGTATATACGTCTCTGGTAATTATTATCTAGTCTGGAGAAAAAAATGTGTCGGTCAAGGACAAAGTATATTGTATACCCTCAACAATTATTTCACAGTTGTTAATGAACTGCAGTCATTCCAACCTACAACCCTACAGGTAAAGGTTACAGGCAAATAGGTGTCCATTGTATACCAAACAAAATCGCATTACTAGTGTTTAATCATTAACCGCTCTATCATAAACCCTATGTATTGAATTCTTAATATTCATTTATACATATATATTTTTTATTTCAGTTTCAAAACATTAATGATTATTTAAATGTTAGAATAGATATTACACATGGACTGGGAACGATAACAGCGGGGTCCTTTATTACATGACGTATCGCACCAGCTGGGAACGATAACAGCGGGGTCCTTTATTACATGACGTATCACACAGGCTTGGAACGATAAAAGCGGGGTCCTTTCTTACATGTCGTATCACACGGGCTGGGAACGATAACAGCGGGGTCCTTTATTACATGACGTATCACACAGGCTTGGAACGATAACAGCGGGGTCCTTTATTACATGACGTATCACAGGGACTGGGAACAATATCAACGGGGTCCTTTATTACATGACGTATCACAGGGACTGGGAACAATATCAACGGGGTCCTTTATTACATGACGTATCACACGGGCTGGGACCGATAACAGCGGGCTCCTTTATTACATGACGTATCACACAGGCTTGGAACGATAACAGCGGGATCCTTTATTACATGACGTATCACAGGGACTGGGAACGATAATAGCGGGGTCCTTTATTACATAACGTATTACAGGGACTGGGAACGATAACAACGGGGTCTTTTATTAGATGACGTATCACTGGGGCTGGGAACGATAAAAGCGGGGTACTTTATTTCATTACGTATCACAGGGGCTGGGAACGATAAAAGCCCGATGACTGCGGGGTCCTTTATTACATAACGTATCACACGGACTGGGAACGATAACAGCGGGGTCCTTTATTACATAACGTATCACTGGGACTGGGAACGATAACAGCGGGGTCCTTTATAGCATGACGTATCACAGGGACTGGTAACGATAACAGCGGGGTCCTTTATTACATGACGTATCACACAGGCTGGGAACGATAACAACGGGGTCCTTTATTACATGACGTATCACACAGGCTGGGAACGATAACAGCGGGGTCCTTTATTACATGACGTATCACACGGACTGGGAACGATAACAGTGGGGTACTTAATTACATGACGTATCACACGGGCTGGGAACGATAACAGCGGGGTCCTTAATTACATGACGTATCACACGGGCTGGGAACGATAACAGCGGGGTCCTTAATTACATGACGTATCACACGGGCTGGGAACGATAACAGCGGGGTCCTTTATTACATGACGTATCACACGGGCTGGGAACGATAACAGCGGGGTCCTTTATTACATGACGTATCACACGGGCTGGGAACGATAACAGCGGGGTCCTTTATTACATGACGTATCACACAGGCTGGGAACGATAACAGCGGGGTCCTTAATTACATGACGTATCACACGGGCTGGGAACGATAACAGCGGGGTCCTTAATTACATGACGTATCACACGGGCTGGGAACGATAACAGCGGGGTCCTTAATTACATGACGTATCACACGGGCTGGGAACGATAACAGCGGGGTCCTTTATTACATGACGTATCACACGGGCTGGGAACGATAACAGCGGGGTCCTTTATTACATGACGTATCACAGGGGCTGGGAACGATAACAACGGGGTCCTTTATTACATGACGTATCACACGGGCTGGGAACGATAACAGCGGGGTCCTTTATTACATGACGTATCACACGGGCTGGGAACGATAACAGCGGGGTCCTTTATTACATGACGTATCACAGGGACTGGGAACGATAACAGCGGGGTCCTTTATTACATGACGTATCACAGGGACTGGGAACGATAACAGCGGGGTCCTTTATTACATGACGTATCACAGGGACTGGGAACGATAACAGCGGGGTCCTTTATTACATGACGTATCACAGGGACTGGGAACGATAACAACGGGGTCCTTTATTACATGACGTATCACACGGGCTGGGACCGATAACAGCGGGGTCCTTTATTACATGACGTATCACACAGGCTTGGAACGATAACAGCGGGATCCTTTATTACATGACGTATCACAGGGACTGGGAACGATAACAGCGGGGTCCTTTATTACATGACGTATCACAGGGACTGGGAACGATAACAACGGGGTCCTTTATTACATGACGTATCACAGGGACTGGGAACGATAACAACGGGGTCCTTTATTACATGACGTATCACACGGGCTGGGACCGATAACAGCGGGGTCCTTTATTACATGACGTATCACACAGGCTTGGAACGATAACAGCGGGATCCTTTATTACATGACGTATCACAGGGACTGGGAACGATAACAACGGGGTCCTTTATTACATGACGTATCACAGGGACTGGGAACGATAACAACGGGGTCCTTTATTACATGACGTATCACACGGGCTGGGACCGATAACAGCGGGGTCCTTTATTACATGACGTATCACACAGGCTTGGAACGATAACAGCGGGATCCTTTATTACATGACGTATCACAGGGACTGGGAACGATAACAGCGGGGTCCTTTATTACATAACGTATTACAGGGACTGGGAACGATAACAACGGGGTCTTTCATTAGATGACGTATCACTGGGGCTGGGAACGATAAAAGCGGGGTACTTTATTTCATTACGTATCACAGGGGCTGGGAACGATAAAAGCCCGATGACTGCGGGGTCCTTTATTACATAACGTATCACACGGACTGGGAACGATAACAGCGGGGTCCTTTATGACATAACGTATCACTGGGACTGGGAACGATAACAGCGGCGTCCTTTATAGCATGACGTATCACAGGGACTGGTAATGATAACAGCGGGGTCCTTTATTACATGACGTATCACACAGGCTGGGAACGATAACAACGGGGTCCTTTATTACATGACGTATCACACAGGCTGGGAACGATAACAGCGGGGTCCTTTATTACATGACGTATCACACGGACTGGGAACGATAACAGTGGGGTACTTAATTACAATACGTATCACACGGGCTGGGAACGATAACAGCGGGGTCCTTAATTACATGACGTATCACACAGGCTGGGAACGATAACAGCGGGGTCCTTTATTACATGACGTATCACACGGACTGGGAACGATAACAGTGGGGTACTTAATTACAATACGTATCACACGGGCTGGGAACGATAACAGCGGGGTCCTTAATTACATGACGTGTCACACAGGCTGGGAACGATAACAGCGGGGGCCTTTATTACATGACGTATCACACAGGCTTGGAACGCAAACAGCGGGGTCCTTTATTACATGACGTATCACAGGGGCTGGGAACGAAAACAGCGAGGTCCTTAATTACATGATGTATCACAGGGACTGGGAACGATAACAGCGGGGTCCTTAATTACATGACGTATCACACAGACTGGGAACGATAACAACGGGGTCCTTTATTACATGGCGTATCACAGGGACTGGGAACGATAACAACGGGGTCCTTTATTACATGACGTATCACAGGGAGTGGGAACGATAACAGCGGGTTCCTTAATTACATGACGTATCACAGGGGCCGGGAACGTTAACAGCGGGGTCCTTTATTACATGACTTATCACACGGACTGGGAACGATAACAGCGGGGGCCTTTATAGCATGACGTATCACAGGGACTGGGAACGATAACAGCGGGTTCCTTAATTACATGACGTATCACAGGGGCTGGGAACGTTAACAGCGGGGTCCTTTATAACATGACGTATCACACAGGCTGGGAACGATAAGAGCGGGGTCCTTAATTACATGACGTATCACAGGGACTGGGAACGAAAACAGCGGGGTCC